CCTTCTGGAAATCTAAGTAGATCACATCATAGGTGTTTTTGTGATCAATTTCTCTTGTAGCTTCTTCAAAGAACTCAAGTAAATTTGTTAAACAGGATCTACCTCTCCGAAATCCATCAGAATCCCTTCAGAATGTTATTTGCATCCAGGTATTCTACCATTTTCACTTGAATTATAGCTTTCATTATTTTTCCAGTGATGCTAGTTAAACTGATTGGCCTATAGTTTGCTGGATTACTTCCATCCCCTTTTTTGAATATGGGCGTTACATTAGCATGCTTCCAATCAGAAGGTACCACACCCGCATATAACGATTTCTGGAATATTAAAGTTAAAGGTTGGCTAATAATATCCCTCATCTCTTTTAACACTATAGGTAAGATGCCATCAGGGCCCTGCAATTTATTTATTTTGAGCTTAGCTAGGCTTAGTACCACATCAGCCTCAGTTATACATATATTGGTCAAAGACAACGCTGTATTCGTACTAAATGGTGGCAAGTTACTCATGGTCACTGTGAACACCCGTGTAAAATAATCATTAAACTCATTTACTATATCAATTTCATTTTCAATTATAAGGCCCTTACTATCCTGCAAATTAGTGATTTCAGCTTTTAGAGCTGTTTTGGAGTTAAAATATTGGAATAAACTTTTATTGTTATCCTTAGCCTCCAATGCAATTTTTCTTTCTACATTCCTCTTAGAGAGCTTAATGTTTTTTAACTCAACCTGTAGACTTAGGTACTCCTGCTTAGTTTTGAAATCATTAGTTAATTTCCATTTGTGGAAGAGAGCCCTTTTCCTCCTGACTTTATTCTTAATTTCCTTAGTAAACCACCTTGGTTGTAGTTTCCTAGATTTAGTTTTCCTGGAAACAGGTATGAAGTCCTCTTGAACTTGCAACCATGGTTCAATTTACGGGGGGTACAGTACCATCCGATCAAGACCCAGACTCCCCCAAATAGCAGACAAACAAACAAAAATAGCAGTTTGGGGGGGGGGTCTTAACATTTTTCTTTTGTTGTAAAAAAAAAAGAAAGATAACCTGACCTTGTAGGAAAATTTTATGTAAAATGATTTCAGACACCCCTAGTGTGGACTGTACCATTTTAACCACCTCGGCGCTTGAAGCAGCTTAGCCAGTTGGTTAGGTCATTCATTCTCATTGAGTGACATGTTCGTTGTGTTAGTCTGTCATGGTTCTGTTTATCGTGCATTGGTAAATGTAAGTAGCCAGCATAAGTCTAGCCTGTTGAAAATGTGTTATTTTACAACCTTCATTTATTCGTTTAAATGTTTCATCTACTAATACAACCTGACGTCTTTATAAGTTGAATTACCATTGTCCTTCTGAGGCTGGTACTGGAATTTGAATATTCGGCTTCCAAAATTCTTTCTTGTCGTTAACTGGTCAATACGATAACTTATTGCAACCCCAACTAGTAGGTTTTTGTGTACGTAATTCGCTGTCGTATTGACCAGTAAACGGCAAGAAACATAAATGACACAATCAAAAAAAATCTGCTGCCAAGTCAATCAGTACTTGTACTGATCGCTTATTTCATTTTGATCGCGGTTCCCGAAGAGAACTCTATCGGCAATCTATGGCTCATCCTGCTAGTCCCGGATGTAGAGGTTTGAATTTCGGATCGTATTTTAAACCACTGAAATTGTGGCAGTGTATTTGAAACAGCGAAAATAACGGGACTGAGTATTGTAAAGCAGAAATAAGAAGACTGAATGTTACTGCTTGAATAATAAAGACGCGAATAAAATACATGGAATATTTTCAACTGAATTTGTTCTTTTGACATTTATTTTGAGGCGAAATTAAATTAACTGAATTCATGTGGTTGAATTATAAACATGCACTTTAAAATAGGCTACGTATCTTTTGGAACTGAATTTTGGAAGCCGAATATTTTTGTATTGAGTATTTAAGCAATGAAAGTACGATTGAAATGTTTTCAGTTGAAATGTTAAATGTTTAAACGTATGCACATATTAAATTACAGTCCCCAAAAATTCAAAGCGTCATTAATGCAATGCGCTTTTATTCGATAAGTGTAATTCAACGTGTTTTTTTCCCCCATCAACGACTTTTGTCATTAATTTACTTTTATACGAAGGTCAGAAAAATTAGATCACAAAACTATCTAACTAAGTGATAGAGAACAACACAGAAAGACCAAATGAAACCAACGAATGTCCACAGTTGCAAATGCGGTCACAGAAAGTAGGCAAAGACCTGCAAATACTTACTGCAAATTTACATTTTCATTATACAGTGGTACCTCGGTTCTCGAACTTAATCCGTTCCGGACTCCGGATCGAATCCTAAAAAGTTTGAGTTCTGATCGAATTTTCCCCATAAGAAATAATGGAAAACCAATTAATTGGTTCCCGGCCCCCCAAAATTACACCTAAATATAATTTGCTTAATTTAACACCACAAGACACAGCTGCCATAACTGACACGAGTGTGTGGTAATTACACTGATACAGTTAAAAAAAGAAATGACTAAGGAGGAAAAAAAACAGGCTTAGTTTAAGTAACTTCACAGCACATTGAACTGGGTGTAATACAATGGTAATTTCATTTAGCACATACAGAAAAACATTAAAGTAATGTTACCTTTGACTGTAAAATTGATGGCCATACGCCGTATTTTAAGTCACTCCTGCTGAGGCACATTGGGCATTAATGCCCTGTGCGAAATAAAATCTTTTAAAGTTGAAGGTCTCCATCATTATCCGGTTAAATCTTCTGTTTCCTCTCGCTGTCGACATTCTCATCAAAAATCAACAGACGATGAAATGTGAGGGTATGCCGTAAAAATAGCATGCCTCCTTCCAGAAGTCGTAAGCGTGCGCATGCATAGTAGCGGAAGTTACATTTTCTGTAGGTGTAACCTTTTCGGGAGTGTCCGCTACTTCCGTGTGCCACGCCCCCTCGTTAACCTCGTGTGGGATCCCCATGTGATCATCTGTTTCTGGTTGTTGTCATTAGTCCTTTGTATTAAGTCCGCGTTTCAGTTTGTTTCCCCAGTCCGGTCATTGGGTGCCTTCGACTTGCTTACAGCACTGGCTTAAAGCAATGCATTACGGTTAGATGCATTGCGACCTCTCACCCGGCTGCACAAACTGGAACCGCCACACCTTTGCCCTTATTACCTGAAGAGTTTAGTTACACGCATGACGTTTGTATCCCAGGCAGTTCCGATGCGTAATCTGCTATTTCTCCCGAATATCACGTAAAGCAGTGAGAACTGGTTTTCAGTTAATTTACCTGGTAAAATAAAGTTTATTTTTATTTTTTATTTGGTTAATCGTCCAGTCTGTGAAGAAGGCATTCAAGTAAGAATTGCATTGTAGTAGAATTTAGAATTTAGAATTAAGTGATCAGTGGTCATTGTCAACACACCACAGCACACAATGCGCAACAACGAAATGTGACCTCTGCATTTGACCCATATGTGACATTTCGTGACATTCGTATGACTCATTTCCTGGCGCGTACAATTTATATTAAGTCAGTGTTCATGGTTCGACTTCTGATATTCAGATCGAGTTCTAGGTCAAACTGGTTTGTTCGACTTTCAAGAAATTCGAGTTCTAGTGAGTTTGAGAACCGAGGTACCACTGTACATTTTACTTGTTTTGGGGTGGCATGTTGGCACAGTAGTTAGCACTGTTGCCTCACATCTTTGGAACTGGGGTTTGAGTCTCTGCTACGGCTCTGTGTGTGTGGAGTTTACATTTTCTGTCCTTGTTGTCCTGGGGATTCCCCCACAGTCCAGGTGAATTGGATTCACTAGATTGTCCATAAGTGCGAATGGTGTGTGTGCCATGTGATAAGTTAGCACCCGTAGCTTCTAGCACACGCTCTGGAACCTCGTGACCCTGAATGGGGCAGGTGGGTACAAAAAAATGGATGGATGAATGGATTTTATTCCTTTATCTGACACCTTTATCCAAAGTGATTAAAAATTGAGGCAAGGATTACAATTTTTATGTATGCTCTGTGTTATTTCCACTACTGTTGGCAGAAGGTTTCATTTGAGTGATTTGACACAAAGAATTTACACACATTTAGGACTCTTTCAGAGACTAATTGTATAAATGTGGATAGTGGTGGATCTCTTTATATAACTTTTCATCGAAAGCTTTCATGGCCTATGCTGTGCATGTACGACAGAAGTGTGCAGGTCCGTGCGAACTCAGAAGTGTGGAGGCACACGTTTGAGGTTGTGGTCAACCACGCAGTTGTGGCTGATGACAAAAATTGCTTGTCTTGGCTGTATTGGATCCTTGCGCTATGTGGATGTGTAATCAAGTGGCATAAACAGTATTTAATTTTGCTGTGGTGTACCCAAAATGCTGAGGTATTCTGTGTGCCCTGCAATTGGATGTCCCCCATTCTGGATTATTCCAACATGAACCTGGGTCCCAGCTGTGTGAGGCAATAACACTAACCACTGTGCCAACATGCCAACCAAAATTAGTCACTCTGATTAACAAAACTTTAGAAGTACCAAACTATCTTTTTTGCACCGAAATTTGATTGATCCCCTTGATTCCATATTCATAAATGTTTTTCAACAAACTGATTTTCTTTGTCAAATAAGGGAAATATATGTAACCTCAATACCAACTAGATAGCCATTAGCTATATTGGTTAAAGTATAACAATTCTTTCACAGGAAAACCAAAGAAAATGCTTTCCCCCCACAGGTTTCGGGTGGTCAGACGTGGCTGTATTTGACATACCAGGGAAAAATGTTAATTCTATTACGTAATATGAATGCTATTTAGTATAGATGAACAATATGACCAAATCTTGGTATAATTAGCTTTTGATTTAAGTGTAACTGCCATAACTGAATTCGGAAATCTGAATTCTGATGTCTATGGCATTTTAGTGTATCATGTTTTGCATAAAATGTGATATTGTGATAATGTAGAGTTTATTTTTTCTTGGAATGTTTTGTGTTGCAGAAGCACAGCTGAAAGGAATAGTAACGCGACTGTTCAGTGAGCAGGGGTTCTACTTGCAAATGCAACCCGATGGCTCCGTTGATGGGACAAAGGATGAGAACAGTGACTACAGTAGGTAGATTATATTCTACTGCAGTTGGATGTTTGCCTGGAATAAGCTGCAGACTCACTACATTGCTATTTTGAATTTGTGTTGGAGAAAGCTGACTTGCATAGGGTTATCAATTATCTGCCCAATGCAGAAAAATTTAAGATTCACACAAAAGAGATAACAAAGAATTTTTTAATGCAACATATATAGGTTAATTTTTAGAGTGTTAATGATTTTACCTAATTGATATTCAAGTTTAACATGACTGTGACTGGCCTCCAAACATTAGTTACTAGCAAGGTATATTTATTTTTCATTTAGGGCTGCCGAATAATTTGAAAAATTGAATATCAGTATTTTTGATCATTTAAATTTGACACTTTTTAATAAACACTTTTCATTTTTGCATTATAACATTATCAACTAATATTCTATAGAATAAACAGCAAATATTTAAAAGAACAACTACTTCCAGTTGTATATTGCGATTTATATTCCAGATTAGAAAACGTCTGTCATAATAAATATTCACATAATCTTGCCTCAGGTTACCCGTTTTCCCTATATTTGCTATGTTTGTGTGACTTACTTATGTTTCAAACTAGCAAGCTTAGTTAACTAGGAAGTTAACCTCATGGAATTATCCATTGCACCATGATATTTGTTTCAAATACTCGTTTATGCATGTCTGCAACATGATGTTGTTCCTGTGCTTTGACTGTTGACAGATGGCTTTTTTTTACCTTCCCTCTGCCATATTTTATGAAAATGACTGAAAATGAAAAGTAATCGAGATTAATTTAATGTGTTTTATTAATTTTTAATTTTTATTTAAAGATTTAATTAATTTTTTTGAATTTATCAAAATTATTGAATGTTTGTTGCAGTCCTGTTTTTTTCCAGGTGTTTTATTGGTGAGTTATTATTTTTAGTTGATATTCAATATAGGCTAATATGTTTGATAAGGTACATTGATGGCAAAGGCTGTATTTTTACTGGAAAACTTGCATGTTCTGCAAACATTTACAGTTTTCCATATTTTCCTTGTATCCATGAAAAGTTAAAAACGGTTAAGGCTTAATATATACATATCTATAAATTTGCATTATCTTTTTCCTTATTTTCAGGAAATGTTAAAAGTTCTGATGCCTCTGGGAAGTTTATGCTTAGTAGGAATATTACTTCCCATTGAAACTCCAGTAACTTATGTGTGACATGGCTGTTTCTTGCGATTTCCAGCACTGTTTAATCTCATCCCGGTGGGTCTAAGAGTGGTAGCTATCCAGGGAGTAAAGGCCGGACTCTACGTAGCCATGAATGCAGAAGGGTTCCTGTACAGCTCAGTAAGACCTGATTATTTTCTTCCATTGGTTTTATGTGTTAATGAATTTTAAAATATAGTAATTTTACTTTTATTATACAATTAGTGGCCACTTTATTAGGTAAACCTTGCTAATAACAGGTAGGACTCAGTTGGGCATTCAGGTATGCTTCGTAATGTAATATCTACCTATCTTGCATGACACCTTGGATAATACCTAAATAAATACATGTAAATGTATTTTTTTCTGAATAGAATGAACCTTTATTGTCCAGCCAAGGCTGGAAACTTGTCTATGGCATCACATGTAGATATACAAGTCAACATAACAACACTGACCATGTAACAGCATTAAATAAATCTGCTAGGTAACATGTTAATAAGATTCAATGCTTTGGGAATAAAGGATTTTTATGTATAGCTTTGTTGGCCAGAGGTCAATAAATACCATTTTTTAATTACCTGTGATTTTTGCATTTTTGCCTTCCTGTTAGCTTTACAGACTGGGCATTCTCCTCTGAGCTTTCAGTTTAAAAAAATTTTTGCTCATGGAACTGCCACTGATTGGATTGTTTTTGTTAATTGTACCATTTTTTGCAAATACTGCAGTGTGTGAAAATTCCTCTAATGTGGCTTTTTTTAAGATGCTGAACCACTGTGTCTGGCAGCAAGTCAGACTGCATTTAAAATCACTTTTGACATCTTAGCCATTCTAAAGTCAAACAGTAATTGAACCTCTTGACCAAGTTTGTATTCAGTTGTACTTACATGGTTTACTGTTTGGAGGAGAAGGCAGTCCTCCTTAAGAACCAGTTGTCCTTAATAAAATGGCAATTGAGCGAATAATCTGGAAATGGAACCTAAAATTTGAATGTGTTATTTTTATGGAGCATTGGCTGTCCTGGTGTTCTTTTGGGCTCTTGTTGGATTGCAGTAGAATTCTGATGTATTATGGTATTCATAATATGAGCTAATGTTCTCTAGAAACACAGTATACTATGGTTACTTTTAGCCTATATATCAATCAGTATTTAAGACTACAATTTTGTACAGAGCAATACATACAAAGTGTATGGGCATTTTGGAGCTACGATCATCAGCCAGCTCAGGATTTAAACCGACTTTTCATATTGTGGACACTGCACTCTCCGGGGTCTTTTGTAAATTTGCCCATCACCATAGGAAAACAAAGAAAGAGAAGCGTGTCAGAATTTTGTACCAAGCTTCCTCTGCCCAGCATCCTGCTCGCTAATGTTCAGTCTTGGACAACAAACTGGATGAGCTGTGCGCATGGATTAATCAGCAAAGGGATACCAGAAACTGCTACGTTTTGGCTTTCACAGAGATGTGGCTGGAGCCCTGTGTCCCCAACTGTGCCATCACGCCGAAAGGCTTCACTGTTTACCGAAAAGACAGAATGAAGGACTCAGGCAACTGGAGGAGAGGGGGTGGGTGCTTTATGGTTAACTGGTCGTGGGCTGCGGATGTCTGCATCTTAGCAATGCACTGCTCTCCGGGTCTGGAGCTGCTGTCCATCAAAATAAGGCCCTTTTACATTCCCAGAGAGTTCAGTTCACTGCTCCTCTCAACTGTCTATATCCCCTCCTCAAGTTGATAAATCTTCAGCTGTAGACCAACTGTACAGCATTTTAAACAGACTAGAGAACACATACCCAGAGGCAGCATTTATTGTTTTGGGAGACTTCAACAAAGTCACTTCAACACACCCCATTCAAAGACTGCTCCAAACCCCCGCCCCAGATCATGGCTCCATTCTACTGCTGCCTGTATACAAGCAGAAACTTAGGAAAAACCGGCTTTAATCTATAAATGCAATAGAGAGGCTGAGCGGTCTTACAGAACTGCTTTGACAATGGACATGTTTGAGGATGCGGCTGACGGAGACATCAGTGAATTTACAGACTCTGTCATAGGCTATATAAGGAAGTGCATTGACAATGTTGTTTCAAAAGCCACAGTCTTCACATATCCAAAGAGAAACCCTGGATTAATGGTAAAATTTACGCTAAACTCAAAGCCTGGACCTCTGCCTTCTTGCATGTTACAAAACAGCCAGATATGACCTCCAGAAGTCCATAGGGAATGCCAAGAGGGACTACAGGGACAAAGTGCAATCCAACTACCACAGCTCTGATCCCAAGGGCATGTGGGGAGGACTATGCTGGATCACGGACTACAAAAAAGAAAAACAAAAGTCAGTGTCTTGCCCACCACATCCGTCCCAGACGAGCTAAACACCTTCTATGCTTGTTTTGATGCAGCCAACAAAGAACCTACAACATGTCCTCAGGTGGACAGGGAGGCAGCAATGCTGATCCTACAAACGGCTGATGTGAGATGGTCCTTTGAAAGGGTCAATCCTCATAAAGCTCCTGGGCCAGTTGGTATTCCAGGCCACACTAAAAAAAAAGGTTATGTGGTACATTGGAAGGAGCCTAAAGCTCTCCCCATCTATGATATCATAAGCGGGAGGGGGCGTATCCGTGGGGGCAGCACTCACACAGACATCCCATTTCAAAATGGCGGCACTAACGGTGCGCCTGTTATTTCAAATAAACCCCTTTAACCATAACGTTTTTAAGTAATGAAGCACTTTTCTGCCAATGTCAATAATAAAATAAAACAGCCTAAGCATTTCAACAAGAAGAATCAAGGAATATCGCGGCCAATCCTTGTTAAAATGGCTCTCTCTCTCCATGTCGCGCTTGTGTGTAGACCCACAATCCCCACACACCACTATCATTTATTGATAGCGCCATTTCTACCATTTCTACCAGCTATAGGCCAGGGTGTGTGTGGGATATTATGCTTCAATTATTTATTATCGTTGGCTATGTGCTTTATAACACATCTTATACTCATTTTACACACATTTACTTATTTTATGCACACTTTAAAATTCAGAAAACTACTTGCTTCAGCTGTAAATGATAGTGGTGTGTGGGGATTATGGCTCTACGCAGAAGCGCGACCTGGAGAGAGCGAGAGCCATTTTAACAAGGATTGGCCGTGTTATTCCTTGATTCTTTTTGTCGAAATGCTTAGGCTGTTTTATGTTATTATTCACATTGGCAGAAAAGTGCTTAATTACTTAAAAACATTATGATTAAAGGGGTTTATTTGAAATAACAGGCGCACCGTTGGTGCCGCCATTTTGAAATGGGATGTCTGCGTGAGTGCTGCCCCTGCGTACAGTCAGTTGATGCGCAACTTTTGAACGGAGTGGACGCACACGGCCGAGCTGCGGGGCTAAATGTTTGCTGGTTTTCTTCAACCTAACACTGGTAAATATCGCTAAAAGTTTTTTGTACTTGTTTAAATTCCGCCTGCTTTTCTTATGACGTCATAGATGGGGAGAGCTTTAGGCTCCTCCAAATGTACCACATAACCTTTTTTTTCACGCTCTCAGACATTGTGCCGACCAGCTGGCAGACATGTTCACCAACATCTTCAACCTCTACCTGAGACGGTCTGTGGTCCCCACACACTCAAAGTATCCAACATAATTCCAGTCCTCAGGAAACCAGGGGTCATCTGTTTGAATGACTACCACCCAATTGCACTGACATCCGTCACCTTGAAGTGCTTCGAGCAGATGGTCAAAAATCACATCTGCTTCTCCCTACCTGACAGCTTAGATCCTTAACAGTTTGCCTACAGATCAATCAGGGCCATGGAGGACGTCATCGCCCTGGCAACACACACCGTCCTCACCCACCTGGAGAAAAGGAATACATATGAGAGGATGCTCTTCTTTGGTTGCAGTTCAGCATTCAGTTCAATCATCCCTTCTAAACTGGCCTCCAAGCTTGACGATCTCTGACTGGGGACGTCCATTTGCAGATGGATTTTCTGATGGGCAGGCCCCAAGCAGCCACACTTCCTCCTCGCTGATCCTGAACATGGGCACACCATAGGGCTGTGTGCTCAGTCCCATCTTATACTACTTGTTCAACCCATGACTATACTGCTAAACACAGCCCCAATGTCATCTTCAAGATTGCTGATGACACAACCATCTTGGGCCTCATCACAAACAATTATGAAACGGCATACAGAGAGGAAGTGTGGACATTAACCAGCTAATGCCAGGACAACAACCCCTCTCTCAACAAAAACAAAGGAAATGATAGTGGACTACAGGAGACAGCAAGAAGGGACACACCAGACCATCTACATCAGTGACACTAAGGTCGAAGGGGTCAGCAGCTTCAAGTTACTCGGTGTGAACATCACAAAGGACCTCTCCTGGAAAACACACACAGACACTGTGGTCACGAGAGCTTGCCAGTAGCTCTACTTCCTGTGAAGGATAAAGAAGTTCCCCCTGATGTCCCCCTCTCGCCAGTGTGGGGAAGCAATAAAAAAGGCGAACAGTCTGTTTGGTTATATCTCTAGATGTGTGGAGTTTAAGTCAAGGGAGGTGATGTTACACTTATATAATTCCTTGGTAAGACCCCACCTAGAATACTGTGTGCAGGTTTGCTGCCTTAGAAAAGGTGCAACGAAGAGCTACGAGAACTATCTCCAAGTTCAGTCGGAGCCTC